GCCAAGTTCATTATAGATAGGGATAATTGTAAGCAGCAAGAATGTTCAGTAAAGTAAGATCTACAAACACGTCACCATCACCAAAACACAATTTTGTCATGAATTCATCTGTGTCCTTTGTTTAATATGCACATAGACCAAGGTGAGCAACACAGTTTTTTCTTACACTTATTTTATTTCTCCAATGACAATGTGGGGACGTGGGGTATGTGAGCGCGCTCACTAAGGTTCTTTTATTAATAATTTGATTGTAGGACAGGACTATAGGATTGTCTTCTTTTATTATGTGGTCTTTGTGTTGCAATTATACCAAGGATACAAAGTCAGGTCAATACTTTATAGTATTTCAAATTTTTCATTACACATTCTTTGATATATTTATTTTAGAAAACTCTGGTAGTGAAGAGGAAGATGACAAAGAAAAAGATAGAGAAAGTCACAGTTTATCAGATAAAAGTAAAGTAGATGAAATACAAGAAGCTTGTGGAAAAACAATGAAGGATGATAAAGGAGGAAACTCTACTGTATGTGATATGGAATTATGTGATTCAGGAGAGAGTAATATAGCTGTCTCATTACCTATTGTTGAGCTGTCATCTCCATGTGACCAAATTGTCTCTTCATCCAAATCACCAAACATTTGTATAGAAAATACTTTCTTTGAATCACCTACCTCATTAGGAACAAAACTTTCAGAAAATGACTCTCCGAAGCTGGACAAAATCACGCCAACAAAGGTAACACCTGAAACTCTAAAGTTACCACCAGACTACCCATATAAAAACATTAAAAAAAGTGCTTCTATTTTAAATCATTTAGACACTTTTGGAAGAACTAATGAGAACTATGTAGTGGCAACTGTGTGGGACAATGGGAAACTAACAGGCGATCAGTCAACACTTGTAAGGGAAGGGGGAACAACTCCAGTAAGATTTGTATCTCCACCCACTCCAGGAACACCCACTCTGGATGAAAGACAGATAATGCATTACTATACCTCACCATTAGAAAAGTCACAAGATGATCCTAATAACAACAGGAACTTTTCCTCAATACAATTTAACCCAAGTCCACATCTGGATAGGAAGGTTGAAAGTTCACAACAAGCTACATCAGAACAGTGTTCCAGAGTAACTTCTCAACCACCAACTCTTCATCTTGAAGAGAGCATTACCAGAGATTCAACAGATAAATGTCCACATTTAGAGAAAGAGGTAGATAGTGACGAAATTTCATCATTGGAGAAGAAGTCACCTGCTTCAAAAGATCAAAGTCAATTAGTACATCCAGGTCTAACATCAAACTTCCTACAATTAGATAATAGTAACAACAGTTCATCGAGTTTACTTCAGTCTCAACCAGGGAATGAATCAATATGTTATCAAAATGTGCAATCAGAAGAAAATCCATGCTCAAAATCACTTGGAAGTACAGGTCAGTCATCTGACAAATCATGCATAACATCTACCCATAGGCCAGTATCATTGAAATCCATTCCATTGTCATCTTGTGAAAAAGATGTTAGCTCAGATTTATTTCCATCTTGCATTCTTTCAGTATCAACAAATTCAAATATAAACACTCACCATTCTCCAGAAACTCATGAACCAATTTCAACTGTAGGCCAAAGTAATTCACCATTGAAATTTAAAACATCTTCAACTTCTCCACAGTTTATACATTCACCTGCTTCACAAGTATCACCACCACAGCACACCAGTCCAAGATTACCAACAATTTACCAGTTAGCTTTCCAGTCTACAGTATCTCGTCAAAATGCAGCCATGTACTCACCCCCTTCTTACAACACTTTTCCTCAAAGGCACTGGTCTCCGTTAGGATACCAACAGCATTGTTATAATTACAACAGAATGTCAACACCATTGAGATGTAGTGGTTACTATGAACCTAGAATGACATGGCCACCTTGGGAACTTTCTCCTCCAAGACCATTGCTGCTGTTGCCACCTTATCCACATAGAAAACCATCGCTTCTTGGTGTAGCACGGCAGGGAGTTCAACCTTGGAGTAGTAGACCAGTAGTACCATTAATTGGAAATATTGACTCTGTGAGGTCTAGATTACAGGTAAATCCAGCACCTAGTTGTACTTTTAAAGCAAATTCTCAACAGGAAATTGATTCTTTAATGATGAAAACTCAACAACAGAATACATCAAATGAAATGTCAGCTCAGAGTCCAAAGCCAGGACAAAACGCAAATGAAATTGGTCATCAAAATCAACCACAGACTGTAAGAAATGGACCTAAACTGAATAGTCCTAATAAATTTTCAGTACCAGCAACTGTTATTTCCCCAATAAAGCCAGTTACTGTGGAGGTGGAAGTTTTCAAACCTCTTGTGCCATATACAGACACAGAAAACAATTGTATTTCTGAACCTCTGGTACCATACACTGAAATATCAGAAGAAGTAGTGCTTTGTAAATCTCTTGTGCCATATACTGATGTTGGCAATGATATTGTTCAGTCAGTTGAAGCTGTTCATCACCGACAGGAACTACTTCAAAACTGTATTGAACCAATCAGTAAAGAAACAGAACCCAACAGAGGTATGACAACTACATTATAAGGCTATAGAATTGTCACATGATATTATACCAAAGGCTTCAATAGATGACCTCATAAATTTTCAATCACAAGGTTTTTTTCATCTATATATAAAAACTCTTCTTTAATTTCTTCAACTTGACATTGACCTTGAATTAATTGTGTGGTCTGTTTAAAGTTGAGGTTAAAAGGTATCTGATTTGATAGTTTTAGGCAATTAAAACATTGTTGCCTTGCATACTAAATAAAGGTAATTGGTATCCACTAAATGCATAACTTTTCTCTTCTTTCTTTTCAGAATTGTTCGCAGGACATGTAGGAAGCAATTTTATGAGAATTCCTGATGGAGATCAACAGACTGAAACATCAATAGCTGGTAAGAAAAGTTTAGATAAATATGAAACTGGATTTATGACTAAACCTCCAAAATCTAGTCTTATTCAGCAAGTTAAGATTAAAGATGATTTCAGGGTTCAAGAGAAAGCTCATGAACTTCATAGCATTCTAAAAAGAAGTCCTAGACTAATTGTGACAACTGGAGCTGGAAAAGGTGATGACTATGCACCAAAAATAGATTTTTCTGAGGAATTAAGTATGAAACAGGAACCAGTAGACGACACAATTGATAATATCATTCAGTTCCTAGATTTTGATTCAAAATCTCCAGGGACAAGTAAAGTCAATAAATCAGGAATTGAAAGTATCATTAAGATGAATAGCAGCAATAAAAAAGTAAATTCATCAGCAAAGAAAGGTAATGAACAGAAGCAGCCTCATACAGTAACTAATAAAGATGTTGAAAATATGAGAAAGTTGCTAAATGATACATTAGAGAGAACCTCGCCTAAGAAAAAACCTAGTGGCGACTGCAAAAATACAAGAAGGCAGAGTGGTGAGATTTGTATGGATAAAGTTGTGGAATCTCAGAAGAATTCACAGAAAATTGTGTCTAAGCAGGTGAAAGGAAGTTTAAAACACCCTCTTACTGAGAATTCCTCTGAAGAGTTTGTGGCCTGTAAGAAAATCAAACTGGAAACTGATAAAGATAAATTACCTGTACTAGGTTCAGTTCAGGCAATGGAAATCACTTGTTCTGACAGTTCTGATTTAGAACTTATTGACTGTCAACTTCCACCTGTTATTGATTTAACAAGCCCTGTTGTTGACCTGACAGAATCACCATCCCCCATTCGAATAGTTAAAACTGTCACTGGTTACATAGTAGAAAAATCTTGTAAAACCAAACTGATAGTAGACACTGATTCTAAATCAGAAATGAAATTAAAGATGTCAAATATATCAAATAGAGTAAAGGACTATGAAAAAGATCAGCAAATATCAAATGAGAAATTATTGAATGAAAATGAAGATAATATGAAGGCTTCTAAGTCAAAGTCAAAAGCCAAAATATCAAGTAATGAAGGAAAAATAGTGAAATGTCCAGAGAATTTAAAATATGGTTCAAAGAATGAGGAAAAAGCTGACACAAAAAATATAAAACAGTCTGTTAACAAACCAGAATCTAAATTAAAGAACCAAGAAAAGACGTCAGAAGAAAGAGAAAAATTAAGAGAAAATTCTGCATTAAACTTAAAGAAGACAGATAAATCAGTAGAAAAATGTAGAACTGAATTAGAGAAGAAGGAAAAATGTAGGGAAAAATGTGCATCAGCTTCTAAACAGACAGATCAGGGTTGTGAAAAATCAAAACTCTGTGTTGGAAGCAAAACAAATTATAAAGACAATAAGGGATCAGATCTAAAAAAGAAAAATAAATCAATAGAAATTTCAAAATCCCAGTCGGAAAACAAAGAACTTTCTGAATTAAAAACTACATCAGAATTACAAAAGAAAGAAAAAGTTATGGTAGCATTCAGTTTGGGAAGTATTGTATCTGATTTGAGAAAGAATGAGAGATCAGTGGACAAAGCCAAACTTGCTCTTGATAACAAAGACATTGTAAATGAAATGGATAAACCACTGTTGAAAAACAGGAATAAATCTCCTGATAATTTGCAGAAGAAATTTAAATTAAATTCAGCCTCTGGTGAAAAAATAGATGACAAAAACAGACTTGATAATACAAATTTTGGAAGGAAAGAAAACACTGGTAAAACAAATCCTGTAGAAATATTTGACGAGAATTATCAGAAAGTGAAAGGAAAACAAAACATTGACATTAAACTGAAAATGCATGAGAAGTCAAAACTAATTGAAGAGCCTTCAGATAAAACTTCCAGTAATAAGGATAATAAGCAGCAAGGGCAGGTTAATGTTAGCACAAATAAGGAAAACAAAGACAAATCATCAAATAAAACATTTTTGACATCAGAAGAAAGAAATAAACATAAAGACAGTTCATTTACAGCAGATAACACACATGAAAGGGATAACAATAAGTCTTTGTCACAGACAAAAAGTGAAGAGCTGTCCAAGAAGACTCGCTGGGATATAGTCATGAAAGATTTGGACTATGATACAAAAAATCGAGTCAGTAGGAAGAGGAAAGATTCAGAATCAGATTCTGATGCTAGATCATCAAGGAAAGGATCACCTCCTGTAATGTATGTGTCTGGAAAAAAGTCAAAAGTGTAAGTATAGAAGTATGTTGTACTAATTACTAGCTATGCAATCATTTCTAATATCTGTACCTGTACTACACTAGATGCTGCTTATATTCAGTTTTAGTTCATAGATTGTCTTGATTTGGTGTAGAGCACATTAGCTTTTTTTAAGTTCAATTTTTTGCTATTTTTATACGACCGCAAAAATTAAAAAATTTTTGGTCGTATATTGGTATCACGTTGTCGTCGTTGTCAGCGTCGTCCGAAGACAGATGGTTTCCGGATAATAACTTTAGTATAAGTAAAAGGAAAAATCAATAAAATTTTAACAAAAGGTTAATAACCACTAATGGAAGGTTGGGATTGATTTTGGGGGTTATGGTCCCAACTGTTAAGAATTAGGGGTAAAAAAAGGGGCCCAAATAAGCATTTTTGTAGTTTCCAGACAATAACTTGTGTTAAAGTGTATGAATCTCTCTGAAATTATACCACAAGTTTCCATACTACAAAGGGATGGTTAGGATTGACTTTGGGGGGTTATGGCTCAAACCATTTAGGAATTAGGGGCAAAAAAAGGGGAAAAACAAGGGTTTTATCTGGTTAAAGGACAATTGAGACAATTTAAAAGCAGTGTAAGGGAGGTAATCCAAATCAAAATCAATTTAAATAACAATGTTTGATTACCTCCCTTACACTGCTTGTAAATTATGTATTAAGAAATGATGGTTGTCTGAGATACTGACCATAACTTGAGGGAAAAAATTATTTTTTTGAATAAGGGAAAGGGGGGAGGTGAAAAAAATTGGAGGGGGACAATATTTCTCATTTCAGATTTCAGAAATTAAAAGAAAATTTCTTCAAATATTTTTTTTGAGGGGTTATTATTCAACAGCATAGTGTATTGCACAAATGCAAAAAAAACAGGGTAAATTTTTTTTTTAGGGGGGAGGGGGGGTCAATTTGCATAGTCTTGCACAAAAGCAAAAAATTTAATAAAAATTCAAATTATATAACCAATTTGAAGTTCTTTGACTACAGTTATTCTGTGTCAGAAACCTATTATGTGTCAAAAATTTAATTACAATCCAAATTTAGACCTGTATCAAGCGTGAATATTGTGTCCATTTTGGCCCCAACTTTTCAGGGTTGGACATCTGCGGTCATATCCAGCTGCGCTCAGCGAAGCAATTTATTATAGTATCTCATCCTTTAAGATTGACTATAAAAAAAACAGGCTTATAATTTTTTACGCCAGATGGGCATTTTGTCTTCAAAAAACTCATCAGTGACACTTGAATAAAAATAGTGAAAGGTCAAATAAAGTATGAAGTTGAAGAGCATTGAGGGCCAAAAACAGCTAAGGAAATATATTCCTGCCATTTCCTGGGGTAGGAAATCCTTAGTTTTTTCGAAAAATTCAAATTTTGGTAAACAGTTCATTTATGTATATGACAATATCAATGATAATTCATGTCAACATGATGACTATATGATTGTTTGAGTTCAAATTAATTTTTAATAGCATATTATAAATCACAAATTTGACTCCTACTTCTCGTTATCATTTATGCCACATGTATTTATCATTTGAATAAGTGTGATGTTTATCTTATTTATGTTGCATATATGACCTATTTAATTCTTTTTATCATCATTTCATTTACATCAATACTAACACAACAGGAAACAATCATCATCAGGTAAAAAATCTTCCACTCCATCTAAAAAGACTACAGCAAAATCCAGGAAAGCTAGCCCAAGTCCTAGCAAACAGAAATCAGGTGACTGCATGTTGCAGTTCAAAGTTTAACTAATTCATGTTCAAAATTCATTCATTGATCATGCCACAGTAGAAACTATTGATCTGTTAGCAAGTTTTCTAGCAACCTGTCATATTTAAATTTAATCATGAAATTTTTCAAAATATATATGTGTTGAAATCGATATTGCTCAGGTGTAACAGCTTGATAAAGATGTCTTTACCTAAGATAAAGTAGAGTTGTTTCAACATCTGTCATTTGATTCAATTCCTCATGATAAAATAAGAATTTAATTGAACTGTGGCAAGAAAATTGGTTAACAGTTGAATGGTTTATGCTATACTGAGTGTCAATAGAAGCACAACTCTTCATATATTTTCCCTTTAATAAAAATTCAAACCAACAGTTCTTCTTTGAAAGTTGACCAATAGCTCTTACATTTTGAAGACTTCTTTGGGTATGCTCACAAATCATTTTGAGCAATTTTCTGAGCTTTTTGTTTTTTATGCCCCCACCGTAGCAGAGGGGGCATTAAGTTTTACCCTTGTCCATCATTTCATCTGTTCGTCCGTCCGTCCATACGTACGTCCCACAAATTGGTTTCCGTTCTCTAACTTTAGTTTGCCTCAACCAAATGTTATAAAACTTATACACAATGCTTTTTACCACAAAACACAGATCAAGTACGATTTTGGCAGTGCACTTTTACCTTTCTAGAGTTATGTCCCTTTAAAAATGGAAAAATTGCTGAATTTTTTGTTTCTGTTCTCTAATTTTACTTTGCCTCAACCAAATGTTATGAATCTTATATACAATGCTTATTACCACAAAACACAGATCAAGTTCGAATTTTGGTGGCGTCACTTTTACTGTTCAAGAGTTATGCCCCTTTACAAATGGACAAATTGCTGAATTTTTATACGACCGCAAAAAATATTTTGTGGTCGTATATTGGTATTACGTTGGCGTCGGCGTCGTCCGGCGGCGTCGTCGTCCGAAGACACATTAGTTTTCGCACTCTAACTTTAGTTTAAGTGAATGGATCTCAATGAAATTTTACCATAAGGTTCAATACCACAAAAGGAAGGTGGGGATTGATTTTGGGGGTTATGGTACTAACAGTTAAGGAATTAGGGGCCAAAAGGGGCCAAAAATAAGCATTTTTGTAACTTCCAGACATAACTTGTGTGTAAGTGTATGGATCTCTCTGACATAGTACCACAAGGTTCCATATCACAAAGGGAATGCTGGGATTGATTTTGGGGGTAATTGCCTCCAAATTTTAGGAATTAGGGGCCAAAAAGGGGCAAAAAACAAGCATTTTTCTAGTTTCATGACAATAACTTGTTTGTAAGTGTATGGATCTTTATGAAATTGTACTACAAGGTTCCATATCACAAAGGGAAAGCTGGAATTGATTTTTGGGGTAATTTCCTCCAAATTTTAGGAATTAGGGGATAAAAAGGGGCAAAAAACAAGCATTTTTCTAGTTTCATGACAATAACTTGTTTGTAAGTGTATGGATCTTTATGAAATTGTACTACAAGGTTCCATATCACAAAGGGAAGGCTGGGATTGATTTTGGGGGTTTTCCCTCAAAATTTTAGTAAGTAGGGGCCATAAAAGGGCAAAAAAAACATGCATTTTTCTAGTTTCAGGACAATAACTTGTGTGTAAGTGTATGGATCTTTATGAAATTGTACTGCAAGGTTCCATATCACAAAGGGAAAGCTGGAATTGTTGGGGGTAATTGCCCTAAACGTTTAGGAATTTGGGGCCAAAAAGGGGCCAAAAAACAAGCATTTTTCTAGTTTCCAGACAATAACTTGTGTTCAAGTGTATGAATCTCTCTGAAATTGTACTGCAAGGTACCATACCATAAAGGGAAAGCTGGGATTGAGTTTGGGGGTGATGAATCATAAGGGGGTTCAAAAAATTTGGGGGGGATTTTTTTTTCCCTTTTTTTTCTTTAACATTTTCCATTTTAAATTGGTTATTTCTGATTTATATATAAAAGCAAATAATAATGATATGGTTTGAATAGGCATACATGTGAACCTCCCGATGGGAGTACAATAATCCCGTTTTCAGGGGTCTCCTCCCGACCTCCCGTTGACGAGGAAAAAATCCCGTGTATGAAATTTTTCATGAATGAAAAATTTCTGCCCAACATATCATCTCAGGCATCTGGTGTAACTGACATTACCATACCTGAAGTTATATTTTACCTGTAAATCAATTAACATGCATAATTATATGGCTTCACTTGTCAGCTTGGGTGTCAAACATACTGGTAATCAACGATTTTTACCTCAGGCTAACTGGCGTTGTGTAACAAAAACTGTGTATTTATTGGGTTACTTCCCTTGATTTATCCTGTTTTAAGTTACTTTCCTTTTAATAATGAAAATTTTTAAAAGAATATAAATAGAATATAAATTGAACAAATAATCATTAAAGGATGGTTATTAAATGATTTTAAATGTCTTAGGACAAATAAAAAAATAATAATTTGAAAATTATTTGAGGATTCTATACTTCCTTTCAAGGCTTAAATTGAAATTTATATAATAACTATGACCCTAATTTTACAGATAGAATGATTTTCTGAGTTTGCAAATAAAAACTATTTGCAAGAGAAAAAAAAAAAAAATAAAAACTATTTGCAGATAGCTAAACAAATGTTCTGGTTGCAATGATTGTTTTATAGAATATGAAGTAAAAAATTTAAAGAACATACTGGAAAAAAACAATGTTAGATTGAACATGTAGAATATAAAGATGGAGAAACTTTATAAGTACAAGGGTACTATAAACATAATAAATTGGATGGAAAGTTGAAGAAAACACACTTTAAAAGACCATTTTTACAGCACACGGTTACATTTACAACAAAATTAATGTCGATTAAAAACCTCCTGATCTGAGTCCTAATCTCCTGACCAAAATTTCCCAATCTCCTGATCTGAGTTTCACAGTCCATCACATGTATGAATAGGTAAATTTAAAATTTTTAAGTTCTTAGACCACTTTCATTCTGTGTCAGAAACCTATGCTGTGTCAAATATTTAATTACAATCCAAATTCAGTGCTGTATCAAGCTTGAATGTTGTGTCCATACTTGCCCCAACTGTTCAGGGTTCGACCTCTGCGGTCGTATCAAGCTGTGCCCCAGCGGAGCATTTTATTCGTTTCTGTTTTAACTTAAGTTTGCCTCAACCAAATGTTATGAAACTTATACACAATGCTTATTACCACAAAATTCAGATCAAGTATGAATTTGGGTAGCGTCACTTTTACCGTTCTCGAGTTATGTCCCTGTATAACGTTATATGCAAGCGGGGGGCATCATCTGTATCCCATGGACACATTCCCCATTTATTTGATTTTAACATTTACAAATTTCACAAAAAAAAAAAGAAGAAATTTACACTTTAGATGGCAGATTTCAACCATAATGAACCCCTATTGCAAAGGTTATCACAAAGTAATGCAGATTAAGAACTTTTGGTCAATTGTGATCACATTTGGGTGAAATTTGTCAATTTTGATTTAAATTCCAAGTTTCTGAACTGAAACAAGTAGATGTGAGACTAAATTGTTAAAGTAACATGTAGCAAAATGTTTGAAGAATGCATTTGAAAAAAATCTTTCAATTGATACTAAAATAGGGACCAAAGGGGTATATGATATGTTGCGTTTTTATAGGCACTCAGTATATTAATAATTCCTTACCAGTTATTTATAATAGCATGAATTCAGATTGTTGATTTTCATAAGTTGCTGCAGTTTTTGTCTCGCCTGCAACAACAAATGTTTCAGAAATCAAGACAAAAGTAATGCTTTTCTGCAGGGGTGGCGGCAACAACAGTATAAATTATTTGTACTTTTATATTTCAGATAGTAGAAGATGTGGATACTTCATATCTTTAAAACAAAAAAATGCCTTATGTTTTGAAGTTTCCTTCAGACATTTGTTCTTTGTCCTTTACTCTATTTGCATTGTTCAGCAGCTGCTTTATAGAACTGTCAAGTTTTATTATCACATGAATTTCTCACTTATTTTGAGTAATAGATCAACATTATTTGGTAAATAGAACCATTCATGGTTTGATATCTTAGAAATTATACGCTAGAGGTCAACTTTATTTTGTGTATGGAATGATTGTTAGGTGTACATGTCTTTCTGACAGGGGTGCATCTGACCTTGACTTCATTTTCATGGATCATTGGTATTGTTAAGTTTATGTGAGAGCTGTAGAAAAACTGTTACCTTGAATTGATTACTTGGTGTTTAACCCCACTTCCAGCACCATTGGCAGCAAGTTATTATTGGTGCAGAGAGCCTGAAGGAACCACAGACTTTCGGTAGGAAAACTGACAATCCTAGTCAATTAAAGTTAGTGTCTAGCACACATGCCACGTGCAGGTTGGAACTCGCAACCTCAGTGTTGACAGGCTAGTTATACAGTAGTTTGACTACTTAAACCACTGGGCCACCAAGGCCCCTCTGTTATCTTGAAGACATTAAACCCAATATCTTAATAATGATCAGTAAAACAAGAGAGACATTTCAGTGTGTGCACTCTTTGTTATTCCAATTATGCTAGTATTAACAAGTCAGACCCTGTCTGCTGGGTCATATCATTCAATCATTTTTTACCAGTCCAATATGGTTAGCAAAATTGAATTATAGCTTGCCTTCTTATATTTCTACTTTTGTTGTTTTCATTTTAAATGACTGTAGACCATTATTTGCAGGAGAAGTATGTTATGTTTGAATGTGTTAGTATTTTTACAGGAAGGAGTCCATAAAGGCACTTTTTTTTTCTACTATTTTATCAATAAGAAATTTTAAGCAACTTTTATTAATTAACATATTCAGTTATTTAATCATTTAAACAAAATATACTCAAAGGTAATTAATTATCTGTGGGCAAAATACTATACTCTCAACTGAGATGAAGGTGAATTGATAGTATTATTTAAAAGCTTGTACTTTCTATACAGCTTACTTCTTGCTGTACATTGTCATGGATACTTGGTATAGCTACTGCTTATAAGGATGATTTTTTTTTTCATTAGCTAAGTCAAATGTCAAGGTAACATGCCATGGATTACATATATATCAAGGTTGCAGTCTTATAAATACCAGAAAAAACTGCCAAATAGCTCTTTAAAAATGATAATTTAAAGTTTTGAAGTGCTTTGCATGCTCCACATGTAGTAGTACAATAGTTTCAAAATATATGCTCTGTTACTCTGTACCATGACTATGTTGTCATTCTGCAGTAAAAAAAAAGTGACATATCAAACATGTTTTGTATTATATTCAAATGCTTGCTTCAAGAAATCTCTAAATGTCATGAATTTTAAGATCTGAGAAACAGAACAGATGTTTATTGATATCGGGGAGGGGATAATTTCATTGAAATGTACTGTAAATCTAGAAATTATTGTGTGCATTTATTATTGCAATTTTTGAAGACTGAACAAAAATGCCAGATTGATTATTACCATTTCAGGTAAAAGCTTCATACAGATATTTGCATGAGATATCAGAATGCGAGTTCTTATTATTGGGATACTCACCCAGTCACATTATTCGCATTAATAGAAAAACTGGCAATAATTTCTGAATTTACAGTAATTAATCAAATTACAATTAATTTTCAAATGTAAATGATTTATTAAAAAATTACTTTTTAAAATACCTACTTTATTAAGCATGTTCATTTTACTAATCTGCAGGATACATGTACCATTAGGCCAGTCCTTGACTTGGATCCAATATTTTTCCTTGAGTATCCTTTCACATAAACTAGTGTTAAGGCTCTGGCTTCAGAACTTTTGGAATATCAAAATGGCAAAATAAATAGATGTCATTATTTACAATATATACCAAAAAAAAAGTCTTGGACAATTCTCAATTCAACTAAAAAAAACCACAGAGAACAATGGCTAATCTATTTATTCAAAAGGACAGTTTAACTTGAAAAAATTTAAATAGCCTGATTCTGGGGAAAGGTTTTTGTCAATGCGAGACAGGGATTATTAAAAAGCTCTGTAACTTTACTTGAGATTGGAACCAAAGTTTGATAGATGGTCACAGCTTTCATTTCTTGTCCCATTTTTATACGACCGCAAAAAAATTTTTGTGGTCGTATATTGGTATGACGTTGGCGTCGTCGTCGTCCGAAGACACATTAATTTTCGCACTCTAACTTTAGTTTAAGTGAATGGATCTCAATGAAATTTTACCATAAGGTTCAATACGACAAAAGGAAGGTGGGGATTGATTTTGGGGGTTATGGTACCAACAGTTAAGGAATTAGGGGCCAAAAATAAGCATTTTGTAACTTCCAGACATAACTTGTGTGTAAGTGTATGGATCTCTGACATTGTACCACAAGGTTCCATATCACAAAGGGAATGCTGGATTGATTTTGGGGGTAATTGCCTCCAAATTTTAGGAATTAGGGGCCAAAAAGGGGAAAAAACCAATCATTTTTCTAGTTTCATGACAATAACTTGTGTGTAAGTGTATGGATCTCTCTGACATTGTATCACAAGGTTCCATATCACAAAGGGAATGCTAGGATTGATTTTGGGGGTAATTGCCTCCAAATTTTAGGAATTAGGGGCCAAAAAGGGGCAAAAAACAAGCATTTTTCTAGTTTCATGACAATAACTTGTGTGTAAGTGTATGGATCTTTATGAAATTGTACTACAAGGTTCTATATCACAAAGGGAAAGCTGGAATTGAGTTTGGGGGTAATTGCCCAAAAAGTTTAGGAAAAAGGGGCCAAAAATAAGCATTTTTCTAGTTTCCAGACAATAACTTGTGTTCAAGTGTATGGATCTCTCTGAAATTGTACTACAAGGTACCATACCACAATGGGAAGGCTGGGATTGATTTTGGGGGTAATTCCCTCAAAACTTTAGTAATTAGGGGCCATAAAAGGGCAAAAAAACAAGCATTTTTCTAGTTTCAGGACAATAACTTGTGTGTAAGTGTATGGATCTTTATGAAATTGTACTGCAAGGTTCCATATCACAAAGGGAAAGCTGGGTTTGAGTTTTTAGGGGTAATTGCCCTAAACGTTTAGGAATTTGGGGCCAAAAAACAAGCATTTTTCTAGTTTCCAGACAATAACTTGTGTTTAAGTGTATGGATCTCTCTGAAATTGTACTGCAAGGTACCATACCACAAAGGGAAAGCTGGGATTGAGTTTGGGGGTGATGAATCATAAGGGGGTTCAAAAAATTTGGGAGGGGATTTTTTTTTCCTTTTTTTTCTTTAAAATTTTCCATTTAATATTGGTTATTTCTGATTTATATATAAAAGCAAATAATAATGATATGGTTTGAATAGGTAAATTAAAAATTTTTAAATTCTTAGACCACTTTCATTCTGTGTGAGAAACCTATGCTGTGTCAAATATTTAATTACAATCCAAATTCAGTGCTGTATCAAGCTTGAATGTTGTGTCCATACTTGCCCCAACTGTTCAGGGTTCGACCTCTGCGGTCGTATCAAGCTGCGCCCCAGCAGAGCATTTTATTGACATTTATATTCAAAGTTGCATATGAACAATGACGCCGACATGTTTGAAAAACTGTGCTTATCAACTCTTTTTGAGGGAGTTACGCCCCTTTGAGGTGTCAGTTACATAGAAAATGCTAATCAGTTGTTTCAATGGAAGTTATGGCCCTTGGAACTGTAAATTTTATGAAAATTGCATTGTATTTGTTCTCAAGTCATGTAGCATTTTTTTCAGATGACAGGAAACATTGAAACACTGCGCCGCGATATAGCCTTTTTGTGTTGATGCAGCATAAAGTAATCACCAATCAATCAATCAATTGAAACACTTGTTTTTTAATCCCCTACAGACGAAGTGGAAGGGGACTTTAGGTTTGCACTCCGTCCGTCTGTCCGTCTGTCCATCCGTCAGTCCAGCAAATCATCTTTCCACACTTTTTGTCTTCGTTCTTGAAGATATTGATTTGATTGTTGGTATATAGTTTTATCATGACAAGTTATAGATCAAGTTCGAATTTTGTTCCTGTCTGATGATTTAGTCCAAAGTTAATGACCATAACTCTGGACCATTTTTAATGTTAGAGTACTATGTTAAACCATATCTCTGTACAAAGGGAGATAACTCATTTTTTAAAAGACATTCTTTGTTAAATTATTTGAAGAATTTTTTGGCAGGTTTGTTTGTTATTTAGTATAAACTAATTTTCTGAAGGCTATATATATATATATATATAAAAAAATTGTGAAGAGAAATCCTTTAATTAGATAATAATCTATTTTTATTTTAAAATGTATATATTTCAATACATTACATTATGTAGATAAAAGTTGTTGACATTTTATAGATAAGTTACAAATCTATATTAGTTTGTGACAAATGAAAGAAAAAATATTTGGAACTTTTAATTATATTTGATTATAATTTGAAAACAGATATACACTGTATTAAATCATATCTAATTTTAGAGAACTATTTATCATATCTAATGTTTTTTTCATCATGCTTGTAAGATATTGATTGATAATTGGTATATAGTTTTATCATGACAAGTTACAGATCAAGTTCAAATTTTTGTTTCGGTCTAATGATTTTGTGAAGAGTTATGGTCCTTGAACTTTAAAAATTCATTCATATAATCAGGTTTCCACACTGTTTTTAGTCATGCTTGAAGATATTGACATGATATTTACTTTTTGTTTACACCATGACAAGTTATAGAACAAGTTAGCATTTTGTTCCAGTATAATGAATTTTTACCCGGTAGGGGACTATATACTGCCATGCAATACTCTCAGAATGGTTGTTTATTTTGAAATAGAACCCCACCACCTTAAAAGGCTTTTGTATCCATCACCACCACTATAAACACAAAACAGTCCATATTGAACATCATAGCAACCAAATAGTTTTGTTGAAATTTTTTTATCTGGGCAAAATTGTAAGTGCATTTTATTGAATTTTAGGTAATGAAGGTTAGTTTACAGATGTGTAGACTCAGCCTTTCACCTATTAGACGGTTTACTGTAAATTCAGAAATTATTGCAAGGTTTTTATTATTGCGAATAATGCGACTAGGTGAGTATCGTAATAATAAAAACTTGCATTCTGAATTCGATGCATATGTCTGTATGCAATTTTTCTTGAAATCGCAATAATTAATCTCGCATTTTTGCCCATTCTTCAAAAATCGCAATAATAAATACACGCAATAATTTCTGAATTTACAGTATCTGTAATATTTAATTTGTTTTTACCGTTTCAAGGGTTTTACACTAGTAATTTTTTGGGGTCCTTTATAGCTTGCTGTTTGGTGTGAGCCAAGGCTCTGTGTTGAAGGCCGTACTTTGACCTATAATGGTTTACTTTTACAAATTGTGATTTGGCTAGAGAGTTGTCTCATTGGCACTCATACCACATCTTCTTATATCTAGTTTTCCTTGTACCACATTCAATTTATATTTAATCTTAGATGACAAGACATTCATATTCAGTCACCTATCTGATATTTAAATGTTTTAATATTTTATTTTGTAAAACACATGCATGTTTGGCAGCTTTGTGCTGCAAAAAAAACAATAACATAAGTGCTTTTAAAAAATAGTCACATCTGACATGTACACATATCTGAATTATGTGGAATTGATTATATTCTCTTACTTATAAGCTTTTAATATTAAATTTCAGTATATGACTATGGATTGTTACCTAGGAAGGAATGGGAGTTTAAAATTCCAAAGAAATCCACAAATGCCAAAGATGACAAAAAATCCTCAGGTAAATTGTCCTCCAAGAAAAGAGAGGAATCCAAATTGTCAAAATCACCATCCATTTACAATGGAAAAGAAAATGGTCATAAATCTAATACAGAGGCAGGAAGAGATTCCAACAAAAAATCAGAGAAAGAGAAACATTCATCTGGAAAATCTAGTTACATTGGAGAGAAAGAAACATTTAGATTATTTGGAAAAGAAGAAAACAAAGACAGTAAAGGATTCAAAGAAAAGGGAAAGCCTTGTAAATCTACTGTTGTACATACAACTGTTCCACTGTCTAAAGATGTTGGTTCCATAATGCAAATGATACGGAACAATGTGTTAAACAAGGACAATAAAAAAAATATAGATGACTTCACTGACTATTCTCCCTCAGATTCTCTGACTGATAACCAATCTGAGGTGGCTAGTGGATCTACTGAAGACACAGCAAAAGATTTAATGGACATCATGGATGGCAAAGTTCCACTGGAGATTATTGATGAAGTTGGAACTGATACAGACTCAATGTTAGACAATTCTTCATTCAATATATCCAATGATTATGCCAAAGATTTGAACTGTGCCATACCGGGAGTCTATGGCTCTAAAACAAAACATTTGTCAGGTGATGTACACAAATCTATTACAAAAGTTGATGTAACAAACATCACTGACACTCACAATGATAGGAAAAAAGACAGTCCATTAATTTATCAATTAGAAAATACTCATATGAGGGATTTGAATGATAATTTAGTGACAAGTGCAGGACAAAATTTAAATGCCAGTACATTACCAGAAAAATCAACAAACAGCAACTTAAATAGTTTTCCTGTAAGTACTTCAGCAACGAAAAGACCTGTTTGTGTTATAGACCCTCTAGATGATCTAGATTTCTTTGTACCAAGTGTAGACAGAAAGGTTGAAGAGGTTAACAATGGGAAACAGATGAGAATCTCTGTGAAGAATGACTGTCCACTGAATAAAACTGTTATTGGATATTCACTAGTGGAACTTATTAGGACTTGTCTCCATGGGTGGGTAATATAACTTTTAAAGATATTGAGACCATTCTCAGTAATATTGATCAGACCAAGAAAGAATATATTAATATTTTTAAGGCAAATTGACGTAAATAACATTTCAAAAGCCTTTATTTCACTTTGCTCTGCCTAAATATTCTAATGTACAAAATTTTGTCTCTTATTTTTTTGTTGAAATATATCACACACCAAGCAGAACAGTATTTCTAGAAGTACAAATCTTAATTTTGTTGTGAGTTGAACTGTTTAATGTATGAATACTAATGTGATGGTAACAGTAAATAATAACTAACCTTATTTTAATATTTATTTGTGAACACTGAACACAGAAACTTTAACATTTACATTTTCAGAAAACAAGAGGATATGAGAATTGTTACCCTTCAAGAATCCATAGTCCAAAGATCTGTTAGTCTAACATTACACAAGCTGAACATTGCAGCAACTTTGGAGAGAACAGTTGATAAGAAGGATGCTGCTCCAATGATTGAAATAGAACCATCTACAGATGTTAAGGAGAAAGAAGAGATAATTCCTGGTTTGGGAGACTTGCATATTCTTGAGGAGGCCATTCATACCTCTTTTAATGAGGAAGACAGTGATAATGATGAAGTTAAAACAAAAACAACTGAAGTGTTGAAATGTGATCAAGGTGTTGTAAATGAGGCCAAGAACTCATTACAAAGTGCAAAGAAAGATGACACTGTTAAGAATATAGAAATTTCTCCCATCAGAGGACCAGTGTCCAAAAAAACAGTCCCTGAACCCAAAAGGACATATGTAAGTTCTTTGGAATTACACAAACCTTCACATTAATTATACTGATTACTGAAAACTAATTAAAACCATTTTTTTGCTTCAGTTAAATAGAAAATGAAGTAGATTGTCTTTTCAAACAGAGTCCATTTCAAGATAAAAAAAAAAAGTGTTTTGCAACACATAGCTTGGACTAATATATTGAATTTTTATTTCCCAGTACCTACGCAGTATTTTCAAACAAAACAATAATTAATTAACTTTTCAACTGTCATCACAACTGAATTGTCCTTTGATTGGATTGACAGCAGTTAATTAAATGTTCTGTTTTTTTAGTTCAATCTATAAACAATGTCTATGAAATACTGAAACCATATAACAGTTAAAGTTTGAGTTATTGACTGATGGAAATTCTGAAAATGAAGCCTTTTGAATATCATTGTTGAAGTTAACCTGTTAATTGAAATAAAAACAGTGCATAAATACTGAAAAGTGTTCTAAAACAGTATCAATCAGAACACATAATGGCAAAAGTTCACAGCCCATTCGACCTTAATAATATGTTAGCCAGATGTTTGTTCACACTGGGCCAGTTTAGAATGCCAAATAGATAGATTTTAGTGATAAAGTTTCTAATATATGAATACTTTTGACAGAAAATAAAATTGTTTCCACCTAATTTATTGAAAGTTTTTTATGGCTCTGTCAACACTTGTTTCTTTTTTATGTTTTAAATGCATAAAATATTTTGAATAAGAATTTTGATAGGTTTTTTTACAGCTGTTAACCCTTTAAATGTAACAATTTACCAATACTTTTATCTCCTCTGAAGACCAATCTCCTGACATGTGGGTCAAATCTCCCATTTTGGAGAAAAAAATCTCTTAATTAATCAATTACTTCATTCTTCAAATGAAGGTTGTTTGTCCTCAAAATTAGGCCAAATATCGTTTCTTTACACATTAAAGACTATCTAAGCTTCATGGACATTGATCATTAAATTCTGAATTTTGTAAAACAAAAATCTTAAAACAGTATTAATTGGAAAAAGTTAAATGATATATTTGAAAAATAGCATGAAATAGGTTTTACCTGCAAACTTCTTCATTAAAAAAACACCTATTCAAGCAGGATATTGCTAATTTGAAAGGTTATACATTATATATGGAAAATAGAATCTAAAATGTAAGGTTTTAAAAGTTGTGAGAATGGTTGATTTGCTATGTAATTAAAATCATTATTTGCAATGGTGAATTTAACCGTACAAAGAATGTTTATTTGCAATTCTAACATATTGTTTTTCTTTCACTCTGTAAACAAAGCTATTTCACAATTGAATTTGCTATGTCTGTTGTTATACTTGGTATAAAGATATAGACATATATAATGCTTTCTTATGTTGAAATGAACTTAATTGAAAATTACAGTCTTTTTCGTCTTTTGTGCCTCTTGATTTCCTTAATTTGTTTGATTCCCTTTCAGTTGTATATCTACACACATACAAAGTTGGTAAAAATGTACATTGTATTTTAGAAGGAGCAATCAAAGGAGAATAGCAACAGAGGACCAATCAGATCCACTGTTTCTAAAGGTCATCGTCAAGATAGACAACATCATCCATATTCCAGGAAAGAAAAACATTACAAGTGTGGATGGTCCTTTGACATTAGCTAGTAAGTGATCATATGAATTTAACGTTGAATTGTCACGACTGGAGATTTGAACATTTTCAGCTGATTGTTTGGCCTCATAACTGGAGATTCTAATCAACATTTTATCAACCTTTTCAGTATCCACTTTGATAGTAAAACCGAATATTTCCTATTTTTAACCTGATTTTCAGAGGAAATATCGGTTATTAGTCCCCTACCAAAGAAGTCAAAGGGGACTTTAGGTTTGTACTCCGTCTGTCTGTCCATCCGCCAGTCCGGCAAATCAGCTTTACACACTTTTTTCTTCGTTCTTGAAGATATTGATTTGATATTTGGTATATAGTTTTATCATGACAAGTTATAGATCAAGTTCGAATTTTGTTCCGGTCGGATGATTTAGTCCAGAGTTATGGACCATAACTCTGGACCATATCTAATGTTAAGAGTACTATGTTAAACCATATTTCTGTACAAAGGGAGATAACTCATTTTTTAAAAGACATTCTTTGTTAAATTATTTGAAATTTTTGGCAGGTTTGTTTTTTATTTAGTATAAACTAATTTTCTGAATGCTATATAAATAGAAAAAAATTATGAAGAGAAATCCTTTCATTAGATAATAATCTATTTTTATACGACTGCAAAAAAATTTTTGTGGTCGTATATTGGTATGACGTTGGCGTCGTCTCCGGCGTCTGAAGACACATTGGTTTTCGCACTCTAACTTTAGTTTAAGTGAATGGATCTCTATTTTACCACAAGGTTCAATACCACAAAAGGAAGGTTGGGATTGGTTTTGAGGGTTATGGTACCAACAATTAAGGAATTAGGGGCCAAAAAGGGGCCAAAAATAAGCATTTTTGTAACTACCAGACATAACTTGTGTGTTAAGTGTATGGATCTCTCTGACATTGTACCACAATGTTGCATATCACAAAAGGAATGCTGGGATTGATTTTGGGGGTAATTGCCTCAATTTTTTAGGAATTAGGGGCCATAAAAAAGGGGCAAAAAACAAGCATTTTTCTAGTTTCATGACAATAACTTGTGTGTAAGTGTATGGATCTTTCTGAAATTGTACTACAGGGTTCCATATCACAAAGGGAAAGCTGGAATTGAGTTTGGGGGTAATTGGCCAAAACGTTTAGGAATAAGGGGCCAAAAGGGGGCCAAAAATAAGCATTTTTCTAGTTTCCAGACAATAACTTGTGTTCAAGTGTATGGATCTCTCTGAAATTGTACTGCAAGGTACCATACCACTGAAGGAAAGGCTGGGATTGATTTTGGGGGTAATTGCCTCAAAATTTTAGGAATTAGGGGCCAAAAAGGGGCAAAAAAACAAGCATTTTTCTAGTTTCAGGACAATAACTTGTGTGTAAGTGTATGGATCTTTCTGAAATTGTACTACAAGGTTCCATATCACAAAGGGAGAGCTGGAATTGAGTTTGGGGGTAATTGCCCAAAACGCTTAGGAATAAGGGGCCAAAAGGGGGCCAAAAATAAGCATTTTTAAAGGCAGTGCTTTAATGCCTTTCTAGTTGCCGTGTTAATATTTCTTTCCGCGATATCCAACTTATCTACGTGGGGGGTCATTAGGCTCCAAGTAGATCCGGAAAATGTTGATTCTCTCCTCTTCTTATTGTGGTATAAAATGTTTTTTGTCTCATTTCATTTACATTGGGAAATAGAGAAACGATCATTGTGTTTTGTTAGTTTTAAAAACTTTTGATATATTTGTATTTTACATTATAAGCAGTCAAACGATTGACAAACTAGAATTATTTGAATTCCATGTGGAAAGAGGTCGGGTTAATTTCGAGTGTTATCTGCAATCCAGATGTTTATAAATCATTTCAGTTGTTGTTATAATAATTAAAGGTCGACTGAACATGAATTATATTATAAAATTTAAAGCGCATTTCTGTTTATGCACGCGAACCCGTCTAACATTATTGTTATTTCGCAGTTATATAAAGTAGCAAATTATCGTTCCTGAATAGGTGGCGCCGTGGTAGCCGATCCTGTACTTCAACTTCCGGTTTCTGCACTGTGCAACTATTACAGTTGCATTTTTAATTAATGATGCCAAGTACTTGTTGTTGTGTACCTGGATGTCATTTAAGAGGAGGACATGCATTTCCAAATGACTTAAAATGAAGGAAAAGTTGGATCAACGCCATGGCCCATACGCAGATTGGACGAGAACACGATGAAATCGTGGAGTCCCATCTCAATCAGCTGTTGTTTGCAAGGCACATTTTACTGAAAAAGACTACGTGCAGGAAACTACTCATGGTAAAACTCTATTTTCTTTTTAAAATATATAGTTATATATGTAATTGCCATGCGAATAAACCAAAGTCTGTTTACAACCGCAATTATCGTTTTAGAATAAAAGGGGGTGGTTAATTCAAGACGTCATAATTTTTTGGAATACGATTCAATGTGATCTGTTTGAGATTTTTTGGTGCTTGCTACAATTATAATGATTTCTTACAAGAGGTATATCATACTGAGAATTATTTTAGCAGTAATTATGCTAATGTATTAATGACAGGAATGCATAAGCTATGCCTCATAGACTTTCTTGAAAAATATCAATGACAATGTTAACAGGAACAAAACAATGACATGCTCTCATCTATATTATAGTTATTTAGGTACAAACAATGTATGTTTGTTGCATACGTCTCTCATTGTTTGTCCTTTGGATTTACATAACATACATTTTGATGTACATTGAATCAGGCTAACATAGTTTTATCCAGATTGTAATGAATAAATCTAGTTAATATTTTGCCAGGTAGTACAAAGGAATTATAGTTATCTCGTACCAATGTCAACTCGTACCACTAAACAAAAACTCGTACCAATGCAAACTCGTACCACTGCTAACTCGTACCACTGTAAATTCATACCATTGTAAACTCGTACCAACTTATTTAAATGCATTCAAATGGTGTTTAATGATGAATATATACTTTAATTTCACTCAATACCTCTTAAGTCTGTAAAATGTATATAATTTGAAATTACATTAACCAATTTGTATCTAATTTTCCTTGTCTAATTGGATAGAGAAAACCGTGGCAGATTGGCTTTGTTGTCTCCCTTGAATAGACTCTTTTTTAAACTATTACTGACAACTATTTGATTTAATTTTTAATCATTCCAAATCAGTAACATTGAATAGATTTGGGTATTTTTCTATTGTTTCTAAAAGGAATTTTATTTAATGATAGAATTTATTGATTGTGTTTTAAAGGTTTAAAATTGTTTATAACCAACACGGCAACAGTTAGAAAGTATGAAATTTATTTTTATACAATATTCAGCACATTTCAGCAGAATATGACCATGCTTATATGATTATACAAGTTGATTAGTAAAAGATAAAAAAAAACAAGTTGATTAGTTAATAATCACACAATCAAAGGAATTTTATATATTTATTAGCATGGTAATTAAGAAATTACATTCGTATTTTTGTCTAAAGTTTTCATTAAAATCTGGTATAAATTTCAAAGATATTTTAATTTTTTGTATAAAGCTTAAAAAAAAATAATCATAAAACATTCATATTTTTGTCTAAGTTTTCATTAAAATCTAGTATAAAATTCAAGTAATTCAACTTTTTTTATTTAGTTTACCAAAAAAAAAATCATAAAACATTCGTATTTTTGAATATATTTTTAATGGTATGAGTTTGCAGTGATACAAGTTCTGATTGGTACGACTTCCCAGTGGTACGAGTTTACGTTGGTACGAGTTAACTTTTTTGGTACGAGTTTACGTGGTACGAGTTTACAATGGTACGAGTTAACTTGCTTCCGTACAAAGTATGCATTGCTAATGGAAGTTCATTTAATTATCAAAAAACTAATGTTTTATAACCTTTTTCAGGGCACAAACCCACCATACAGAGACTTGAGTCTACTGCCAATCCCAGCCTTTTTTCCTGGACCAAGCAAGAGACTGAATCGTCCGCAAAAAGAAAAATCAGGGCAGTTTCCTGTGAAAACAAAAGAACTAAACTTGATGAATATTGTAGTAGAAATCTAGAGGAAAGTTTTGATTGTAAAGTTGGTTTTCCTGAAGAAGTAATTCATACTGCAGACAGGATTTATGACTGTCCACCACCAACTGCCGAGCTAATGTTGAGCTTCACAGATGGAATTACGCAAACACCATCAATGCCTATATTTTCAGCAGAGAATTTTTAAATGAAGACACGTGACACAGCCATGCATTTTTATACCGGTTTAGAGTTGTAGAGTTGTATACTAAATTTTTATTTGTTTTGACCACACTTGGTCCAACAGCACATTGTTTGAGATGCATATATTTTCAAATTGATAGGGTGTCATTTGAAAATCAGTTTTTTTATGACTTTGATGAAATTGATGCATTATACAACCAACTTTGAACTGTCTAGATTCTAGATTGAAACTAGTGTTAAGAATATTGTGTAAACATGGATTGTTTTTATGTCTAAACAGTGGCGTGAGGCTAACACTTGGCCATTTAGTGGTTTAGTCAGGTATTTTTCGCCATCCAACTTCAAATTAAAGTTTCCTACAACTTGGATTATTATTGACAGCACAGAATATCCCGTGATAAAACCTAAAGCTCCTAGAGCTCAGGCAACCTTTTCATCATATAAAAACAGAAACACTGAAAATACTTGTATGTTCGACACCTGGTGGTTTAGTCAACTATGTCTCTAATGCATATGTTGGTTGTACCAGTGACTGTGAAATAGTTGAAAGATGTAGAATAGTTCAATTATGTGATCCAGGTGACAGTGTGATGGCAGACAAAGGTTTAAATGTGCAAGATTTGTTTGCTCACTTTTTTCAAAAAAAGAAACAGAATTAGTTCCAAAACTCTTATACGGGATAGAAAAGTCTCCAATTAACACGTGCACATAGAGCTAATTATTGGACTTGGCAAAACATACAAAATTCTAATAAATCCTATGAATGGAACTGAAACAAAACTTTCATCTGAAATAACATTTA